TTTAAACTCGATTTAATTTGACTCAACTTGATTTTAATTTGATTCAATTTTGAAAAAAATAATAAAAAAAAACAAAAAGATCAGGGAGAAGGAGAAGAGCAAATTATTTGTTATTATTCTTCTTAAATAATAAAAAAATTGTTCAAGTTGAACGATTTGTCATTGTTCTTTTTAAATGATAAAAAATCATTCAAGTTAAACGATTCATTATTGTTCTTTTTGAATGATAAAAAAAATTGTTCAAGTTGAATGATTCGTTATCATTCTTCTTGAATGATAAAAAAAATCATTCAAGTCAACTCGAGTCAACTCAAATCAAATCAAATTTAAATTGAGTCAAGTTAAATATTTAACTCGACTTGAATTTGGCTTGACTCGCAAATCATCAAGTCAAAAAAACATAAACTCAAATTGATTTAAACTTAACTCGACTTATCTAACTCGTGAGTTAACTCAACTCATCCAGAACTCTAATTAAAAAAACTAAAAAATGATTTAAAATAAAAAATAGGAATAATAGAAAAATAATAGAAATATTAAAGAAATTAAAAAATAAAAAAATGAAGTAAAAAATAAAAGAACAAAATAAAAATGAAATAACCTAATTGTAATTATTTATAGAGCTTAAACTAAAAGAATAAAATTCTAAAAAATGAAAAAGGTAATTATTAAAATAATAAAAGAATTGATGTATAATTACATAATTATGTTAATTGATCTTTTAAAAGATAGCAGTTTTATTAGTTTATTACATAATTATAGAGAACTATAAAAACTATGATTTTACTGAGCTTATATAACCTTTTTTTTGAGATATAGAACTGATAGGACTAAGGTTCTTTAGAATCATTAATCATCTTTAATTTTTATATATAGAATAAAAAATATTAAAATATTAGATAAAAATATTAAAAAAATTTAATATTGTATTTATTATTCTTTAAACCTTAAAATAGAATTGAAAAATTATATATATTAGATAAAATTAGTAATGTATTTATATTATATTTATATTAAATTCATATTAATTATTATAATGTATTAATTGTATTAACTGTATTAATTTATTAATTTTAATTCTTTAGTATATAATTTTTGAGTAGTTTAGTAAATATAAAATCTAAAATAAGATAATTATTAATTTAAAAATACAATTTTATAAGTATTATATATTAATAATAATATTAAAAAATTAATCGACTAGTGATAGATATAGCAAGAAATTTAAAAAATAAAAAGTTTTCTTATTATCAAAATAGATAATATCAATTTTATTTACAAATTTTAAAAATCTTACTAATAATTACAAAATTTAAATTAACTTAAAAATAATAGTTTAATTATCTAAAATATTTAACATATTTTAAGTACTTATTAATTAAATTTTAGCTAAATATTAAAAAGTAAGATTATAAAATAAGTATTATATTTATAAAATATTTTTAATTAATTTTATTTTTAATTAATATAATATTATATAATTAATTAAAAAGTAAGTTAAACTGAAAAATTATTATTAAAGTTTATAAATTAATTTAGAAATATAAATAATTTAAAAATTTTTAATAAATTTAAAAATATAATATAAAGTATCATTATTTATATATTTAATTATTTATATTATAATATAATAAATTTTAATTATATATAGAATAAAGTTACTTGTGTAAATTATTTTAAATTTGGTAAAACAATTTAAATCTTTATATTTATTAATTTATTTTTACTAAAGTTTTAATATAGTTTTATTATTTTATAATTTTAATATAAGTTTAATTTTCTTTGAATTTTGTAGATTTTTAATAGATTTAATATAATTTGCTAAATTTACTTTTTAATATTTAAATAATTTATTTAACCTTTAGATTTTATTTAATAATTTTAATATAAAACAATTAAATATTTTATGAAAATATAATGGAATAATAATAAAAAATAAATATAATAAGGTGCGTTACAGATATAAAGTGATTAATTTAAATTAATTTTAATATTTTATAGTTTTTACATAATAAAATTAATATATATTATATGAATTATGTTATATATATTTGTATTTATTAAGAAAACTTTATATATTTTATAAAAAAATTAATTGATTATATTATTTTAAAAGATGATAAGTATTTTTATTTAAAAGGATATTAAATAATAGGTAAATTAAATAAATCAAAAAATTCATTTTTATTAATATATAATAATAAGTTTAGATGATTATCTTTATATATTTAATCAAATTATCTTTAAAGACATTGAATGATATAAGTTTTTTAATTAATAAATTGTAATTCCATATTTGAACTATTAAATAATACTTTATTATATAATAATAAATGATCTTAATTAAAAACATAATAATGATTTATTTTTTATTATTACTTATTTAAGTCAATGTTTATTCTCATTTAATTTTATTATATAAAAAAGCAAATTACAAATTTATTTTTATAAATTCTGTATTAATATAAATGTAACTAATATAACTATAACTATTAATTAAAAACTCATGAATTTTCATCTTCATTAGGTCATATTTATTAAATCCTCCTATCGAAAGAAGTACCAATAAGATATAATTTGTAAGATCCATTACTGACCAACCGCAGAAGAGCGATGATAATACAAATAGCTTATTGAAAGTATCTCTTCGTTTTTTCTATTAATCTAGGGGCAATTACCATATTATTGCTTTATGGAATGTATTCCCCCCACGTTGATTGATTATAATTGAGTAATGGTAATTATGAGATTCAATGATTAGTCATTTCATTCGAATTTTTGCTTGCGCGTAAAAGGATCGACTCGTGAAACCTATCTCCTTTTTATATCCCGCGTGATCTTGAATCGGCGAGTATGATCGCATCACAAGATTCAGGATTGATGGCCTTTCACATATACGAGAAGGGAAGATTGATGACAAGGGTCGAGATATGGATAATTGATAGCTGTACCAGTTGGATCAACCAGGGAAGCAATTTCCCTATTTACATTTTTGTCTTACCAAAAGCCCTATGATGATTGAAGTGGAATCCTCGGAAAAGCAAGTTTTTATTTATATAGAAAATTAAAGCATTCGATGATTAAGTTCCAACTTTACTTACCTCATAGATATGCCCATAATCTAAAACAAAAGTTGGATTAACGTATGAATCACATCAATCAAATCAGTCGAACGTCGTTCATGTGCAAGAATAAATCACTCGCGGGTTTCATGTTTGATCAGATGCTTCCTTCAATTTCGGAATGGCGAACAAAAATGAAGAACAAAGGAAAGTGAAGAACGGAAGGTATTCATTTTAAAACTTCCATCATGTTGGTAAGTCACGGGAGGTTGCTTGTTGAAATTATCGTAGAACCAACCTAATTTTCATTTATTTCAAATTAATCATAATTCATGGGGTGATATTTTTTGTTGCTATTCCCACAAACTAAGATTAATATGATCATTCAGATTTTCTAAAGTTCTAAAAGTTATATTTTATTCTTAATAAAGTAAGCCCTTTGTGTAATTATGAAAACGCTAGAAGAAAAAAGAAAAATCATTAATAAATTATCAGAAACTGTTCGATAGACAAATGAGATAAACACAATTGAAAAAGGTAGGTTGAACTTTTAATTGTCATAACTTTTTTATTGATGATAGAGATTCAAAAATTACTATTACATTCATTATATAAAGAATTAAAAATAAAAGGTTTTTTTTTTTAATCTTACTATGTAAAAACAATAAGAATAAAAGGACTAGATTGTGGCTGAATTAGGATTTGGTTATCGTCAATGATTCCGAATCCAAAATATAAAATTAACCCAGGCGAGAATAGAGCGTCGTCATAGTCACTGGCAAGACATTGTCAGGAAATTCGAGGAAGAGGACGAATTAGAATTTGGTCGTTATCGGACAATGATTCCGAATCCAAAATATAATAACCCCAGACAAGAAAAGAGCGTCGTCACAGTCGCAAAAATATCTGGGGCAGACAACTAGTTATCACCATAACATTTTGTTGTTTCCTATTATTTTGTACAAAATGACACGATTGTCAAAAAATAAAAATCGTATAATGAAGAAACAAAAAAAAAATTTATATCTACTTACTTTTATTCTTGAAAATCGTATTAATTTTACTGCAAATAATAGTTCGTTCCATGGGGTAAAAGATACATCTGCTTCTTTTCCCCTACTTGTACCTTTTTTTTTTCAAAAAAAAAATAGGAAGCAGGTTTGAGTTATCGAATAGCAAAATAATAATAATAATAATAATAGAAATAAAAATGTTAAACGTTTACTTGTAGATTCTAAATTAATAAGCGTTTCTTCTGAATTTGCAAAACGAATTCGTCTTTCAATTGCTCTATAACAGGTGTCTATAGTCAAGTCATAAACGTTTGCAATTTTCCATTCCCAATTTCCAAACATATTAATTGATTCGCTCTGAAATATTTCTAGCCAAAAGATATGGGATTTTGTAATAGAAAGGGGGGAAACTGACTGAAAAAAAAAATAAAGTTGTTAAATCTGAATATTCTAAAAAAAATATTTGTCAATGTGGCACGTTTTCTTTTTACGAAAATATTACTTTCCATACGGAAAGTAACAAACGAAGTTACACCGGAGTCGGAAGAAGTTGATTGGTGGTTCAATTACTTGTAGAACTTTATCGATATTTTTATATTTATCTGTTATTATTTTATTTATTTATTTATTTATTTCTCAAGAATATTTCACAAAATTATTATTATTTATAACTATTTAAAAAATTAAACGATGTAGAGACGTGAATAGGTACAATTAAAGAATTACAAAAAAAAAAGGAAAAAAAAAAAAGTTTGCGAGAATATAGCAGCATTCTTTTATTAAAATTTCCGAAACCTATAATCAATACTTCAAAGCAGGATCATCTTTCTCCCCTTCATAATTATCCATTCCAACATAAACACTACGACTACATTTTGAGTTAGCGACCATTTCGGGTTCGGGTATTGAAATATTAACGGGAGAAGTTGGATTCACCCCAATTGAATTGGACGTATATTTTTGGGTATTATAAGGCTTGTGCATATTCTTTGAATAAAAGAACAATGCGGGTTCACCGTTGCTTAATGAACCTTTTCGAACCAAATAAGCTTGTGATTTAACACCATGAGTTGTTGGTGTAACGTCACTCCCGTTCTTCCATCTTAATATCGATAACATTAACATGATAAGTGCGATAGAAAGCGCAAAAAATGAAAGGGCTGTGTTGCCAAGGAATAAACGACACTTTGTTTGGTTGTCATCTGTGATTGTATTACAACCCATTTCTTTATCGGAAAAGGTTATTAAATTAGTAATACCTATTCATTAGCAAAAGAGGATTAGTTTAAAGGTTTTGACCAAAGAAAGAATAATATTCCTTCTCCGAACCACTTACATTGATAGAGCCAAATGACGGACAATAAGCTAGATTTTTTTTTTTTTTAAAAAAAAAAAATAATGATAAAATAAATAGTTGATTTTGAATAACATTAGCGTAAATAAAAAAAAATGTATATACGAACCCATCAATAAAAACATCGGCTTTGTGCAAATTATCCTTCCATCGAGAATTGAGCTTAACCAATAAATATCCTAAAGAAACAAATTGTTAAAGAGGGAATTTTCAATGGTGTTGATTCACGTGATATAACCTACCAGTAAGGGATAAACTTGCTATATTGATCACCCAGATTTTTAATAGATAATTAAATCTTTAATAAAAAAAAAAAAAAAAAATGAATTTTTTTTATTCTCAAAAAAAAATCACGAAAATTATGTAGCTCATAAATCAACTTACGGGATTTTCGAATAAATTGTTCGATATCCCAAGGACTGAACGAGTTCTATTTGAAAGAAAGTTTCATAAAGTCAAAAAGAAATAAAAATAAAAATAAAAAAAAACTTTAACCATTGAAGCATACCTAGAATAAGTATCATTAAGAAAGTCCAAAATTGAAAAACCCTCCAAATGAGAAGAGTCTTTCGCTCAACTGACCACGTCATCATGAGAAATAGAATATTATAAAATGTTCTTTGATTTTTGCTTGTTGCTTGTTGCTTTTTGGTCGGTCGTTATAACCTCGAAGTAACAGTCGTAAAATTTTCTAGTGTCAAGAAGATGTGCTCTGAAACTCCCGAACTATAACGTATTTGTGTATGTGTATTTATACCAATCACCCTTTTTTTTTTTTAATATTTATTTATCATCGACAATGAAATCAGTGATTGATTTTAAAATTTATCGTAATGGCATAAACTTGGAAAGTTGATACAAAATTACCAAATTACCTTATTGAGGTAAAGAAAAAAAGTTAAAATGATTTTGACGTCAAAAGTCATAGCTCAGATATTTAGATATTCGAAGGCATTAACTTACGTTGAACGAATCAGTTGACTTTTTTTTGTTTATTTTTGTTTTCTTTATTTGCCTTGTTTAAATATTTATATAACGATGAAAAATGCATCAAATGTATGTGACATCCTTAATTTCACAGGGGAGCTCTTTTTAAAAAAAAAAGACATGAAAAGCAGAAATTTTCTCATCGCGTGAAAAAAAAGTTTATCTTTTCATGAATCCATATGTTTAGTTTACTTAAGGGGTGAGTTCCGGAGATATTAGGGTCTATGCTGTACTACAAATATCGTTTATTAGCACATGTGAATGTTTATTTATCCTTTGGCGGGAATTGGGGACAGCTGCGCCATAAAAACTCGAAACCTCCTTCAAAAAAAGGGATTAAAAAAAAAAGTTAACTCGATAAAGATGCAAATTTTGAGCTTTAAGGCACATTTTTGAAAATAACGTGAAAAAAGAATCAATTTTCCCAATTAACCCCTTTCTTTTACACTTTAGAATTCATTTAGTAAGATCATATAAACATCGTGAGACCGCCAAACTCGACTTGAACCTACTCATTTCATTCAATATTCATATCAAGATAAGAACAGAGAGCATATACATTGTTAGCCCTTGAATCAGGTTATATTCGATCTTTTTTTAGATTCGTGAACGGCGCAGTATACATTAGAACCAAAATGTAATAGTTAATAATCTACGTGAAATAAACTTTCCCCAAAAGGATAATGAATTTAGATAGACATTGTGGTCACGTGTCACAACAATCGAGCATAAAATCATAAACTTCTTTTTTCTTTTTGTTAATGTCTTATCTTTTTTGGGAAATATCTCCGGATATTGGAATATTGAAATTTTTTTGTTTTTTGTTCATTTGTCATTGAAATTAATAGTCAAGGCACAGCGAAAATTATACACGGAATTAATTGAACGTACCAATGGACCAATGGTGATTGGTAGAATCGATTTTTTTTTTAACAAAAAAAATGCAACCAATTTTCATTCCAAATTCCAAAATCCGAAACGTAATAAGAAAATCTGTTTATGGTCAAATGAGAATATAAAAGAAATGGTATTTTTAAATCGAAATTTCATTAATTTTATGACCGTATATGCCCTTTTTGTGAGTACTTCGGAAGTGACTTTTGAGGCACAAAAAATATTTTCCCTTTTATTCGACCGTGGCGTGGTGTTAGAGAAATTTTCAAATATTTCTTTCGATACCACGCCTACAAAAAAATAAAAAAAAAAAAATTAAATCAAATTATTGTTCACGACTTTAATACTCTATGTTGTGAATTTTGCTGATATTAAAGAGATGGGAGATTTTAATCTTAATCCTTTTCATGGCTCCAATTCAGCGATTTTTACAAGTTTAATTTTGTTATCAATAGACCTCGTAGCATGTCTGTATATTTTCGTGAGAACCTTTTTACAATGGAAACAGCTCGATAAAAAGTCGTTGCCGATGAGCCTCCGCTTCCCGTTTTATATTGCGTTAATTGGTAAATAATGATTCTTAATTCTGAACTAAACGATGTCGTTAATGTTAATTTTTTTCCTACCATTTTTTTTTTTTTTTTTTTTAGAATTCAACTTGTCCATTATACAGATTATTAACCTGGTAAATTATTTCGTTTACCCTATTAAAACGAAGAAATGATCGAATCAATTTTAAAATTAATCCCTTCTTTATAACATCATTTTTATAGAGTCGTCCGAACATGTGGCAAGATCCCATGTGTAGTATTATTGGATATACCTCATTATTCTTATTTAATTTTGTTATGAATTTGGTAACTTTCATCATTTTTATAACTTGGTATCAAGCTACGAGAAGGATCGGTCTTAGCTTTGGTCGTTACGATTGTGTAATTTTTATAGTTGTTACGACAGTTTCTATGTTTTACACTTTGCTCGGCGTGGGTGAATACGGTGAAGCTCACATTAGGTACGTTGAGATTATGATTTATCATCAAGGAATCTTTTGATCTTTGAACTTTAATTCATTTTCTTTTGATTTGATATAGGTGTGCAATTCAATCGTATAACATATCGATCCTTTGCATTTCTCTGGTCACAATCACAATTAATATGTCATTGATATTCATCCTTTATCTAAATACGTATTTATATTTGAAGAGGAGACTATTAAATAACCAATATCCACCCGAGGATGAGATAACAAAGAAAATATTTTCATACGCTTTCGCTTTCGCTTTTCAAATATTGATTATATTATTTTATACCATTACCACAATCATTAAATTGAACCATAATACGATAGATCTAATTTTCATATTTGGAATCATTAATGGTGGTTTATTAATAACCATTCAGTATATTAAAAATGAAGGTTGGTCGCATAAGCCAATCCTTTCAGCAGCTGTAAAACGTCATTCGCTGGATAGTTCGGCTCAATCCATATCGTCTGTACCAAATTCATTACGGCTTACTGAACATTTTCCTTTTACAAAGATTCAAGTCGATGTTGTTCAACAACAAACGACTCAACGAAGGCAAATTGAGAATTATTTTTAAGTAGTATATCAAAACTGTGTTCGTAAAAAAATTTTTTCCAAAAAAAAAAAACAGAAAAAAAAAATTTTTTTTTTTCTTCCTGTTGCGTAATTTAATCTTGAAGAAAGAGAAAAAGAAAAAAAATTAAAAATTCAGGAAAAAAAATATTCATTAATAAATATTATTATAAATAATAAAATAATTATAGACTTTTTGCAAGTTCAAAAACATAATCTAAATATGGTGACAATTCGTCGTGAGATGTTCCGTATTCTACAATCTTAACCTTTCTAGCAAAATAATCTAAAGTAGGTCTCATTTCTTCTTCGGTAGTTTCCAACTCGGAAAATTCGGAAGGACCGGGTAAGGGAGTACCTTTTAACACGATCCAATAATGAATTGGATGTTCATCGGCATCTTTCCTTTCGGCCAAATCCTTAAACAAATATGCCATATGCCAATCAGTTAATCCTCCCTCACCAACCCCTACAAATACCAACGAACGTTTCTTTTGTACGATAAGTATTTTTAAAAAATTAAGAAAGATCGTTGCTGTATCTTTGTATTCTTCTTCCGAAATTACAAAGCGGCCTTTATCATAATAAAGTCCATGCACATGAATAACGAAACGCGAATGAAGTCCTAAATCTGGTTTATCATCGTCGGGAATGATTAAATCTAATTGTTTGATATCTGATAAATCTTCCGTATAATCAAGGACATTTCGGAATAATGCACTGGCCAAGAACGTATCATAATTTGCGGTTAAGAGGACATTCTTTTCACATAATCGATTTAAAGTTTTTGACAATGGTGCGTGTGGGTTTGACTAGGATATCACGAAAAGAATGATTAGCAAAATTGATTTCATGATTTGGCAACGAATCAAATAGTCTAATCACCTTTAATTGACTAAGAGCAAGTTCAGTTAGGCGTCTGAAAGTTCCATTGAGATTGTTTTCGTTTGTTGACACAATACCAATTAACGTGGATTTGAAATCTGTGGCAAAATCTTTGGCGTATGGGGAATCCTTGGTTGCTAACATGAGTAAAAAGTGGGGGGAGTTCGATGAATAAAAATGTTTTAATTCCTAAAAAAAGTAAAGTTAGCATTTTGAAACGTACCGGTTGAGAATTGATCGAATAACGTGTGTAACTCTTTATAACGAGCTTGAAAGTATTTTAATTTTTCAACTTCTTTTGGGTTACAAGATTCAATTTCATTTTTTAATTCAACAAGTCTTTGTTGACAAGCTTTAGAACCCCTTTCCCATGCGCTACCACTTTTAGTAACTATCAATTACGTAAAATGAAATGTTACTTCTTTTTACTTGACTCAGTAAGGATGTAGCAAAAACTTACTAGTTGTGAATTTGTTAACTCTGGTAATGAGTTCATTTATGATTTGCGTTGATTGTTCAACGACAACATACTGACCCCATGGATTCAGAGCGACTCTTTCCAAGAGTTTAATCCCAATTCCGTCTTTGAAATAAAACATAAAGTCGTTAGAAATACTTTTTATACGTGATCAACCCTTCAAGAAAAAAAGAATTTTTTTTTTACCTTCACCAACATCGGATGATGGTAATTCTTTACAAATTCTTTTAATTACAAATGACATCAGTTTAATATCAACGTCAATCTCGGAAACCAAATCGTGCTTTTCTTGATCATTTGCAAACTTTTTGACCAGATTTGTTTTCAATGATTCATAATCCGTTTCAAATGCACGTTCAAGAGCTTTATTTAATTCATCTTTTTCTTCCTTTGTCAAAATTTTATGCCTTGAAATTTTCTCTTCAATTTTATTCCTAAATTCTAATAAGTCCTTAATATCCTCCAAGGAAATATAGGATGAACCGTACGTTTTGAAAAATTCTTTAGCTACGGCTTCAACTGAAAATACATATACGCAAATATATATTAAATTAAATAACCAAAATTATTCTCAAGTAATTGTAAAATATCTTTCAAAACGTACGTAAACCACTCCAACTTCCAACAGTTTTGACGCATGTTTTAGCATTATCTTTGGTAAGGATTGGATCAAGATTAAGAATTGCGGCTGATACACCAGCTCCTGTAAAGATACAACATTTTCCTTTTTGAAGGCGTCTTGAAAGTTCAAGTTCGTGCTCTTGAGGTTTGTGGTCTAAGGGCATTTTTTTTTTTTTTTTTGATAAGAATTTTTTCAAATAATTTTAATTTGAGTTTTCAATTGATGTTTATAAATTATTTCGGCGTCCTTTTTTTTTTTTTTTTCTTTGTTAAGGTTAATATAAATCTCGAGATGTAAAAAATTCGACATCTAAAAAAGGAAAAAAATGAATTACGAACTATTTTATATTGTTGATTGAATGTATTGTTCTCATTTAAACTTTTTTTAATAATGTTGATCTTGTGGCTTGAATAAACAAACGCTGCAAGATGAACACATATGGTTATGAGGATTCGGGAAAATGAACGTTACCTTAGTTCTAATCCCAACACTAAAAATAACTAACTGGTAAATAAATTCATATATATACTGCATGTGCTTGTTAATTTTTATGTGCTTATTTTTATTTCTGCATAAAAAAAAGACTATTCGATTAGTTTAAGAATTTATTCTCTTCCTTTATGTAACGAGAAAAGTTACTTCTGGACTTTTTTTTTAATGCAGGAACCCACAAAGAGAAATGATGTAATCGGTAGCAAATTTGCCCGGTTCTTACCTTTTTAATCTAATCCAATAGAAGTTGATGCACCAATGTTTGCGTCCCTTTTCAGCTCTTGACATCATCTTTTTCCCGAGCCTCTCTGAATACTCGATGTTTTTCTGAGTTGTGCAAGTGAATATTTTTACCGAGAATTTATGCCATTTCCATCACAATGAGATGATCACTTTGTGATTATTCGTTACAATAATAATTAAAATGAATTTTCTTTCTTTAATATTATTAATATTCGTTTCAAAAATTCTCCTTTGTTTGGTGAGATTATATTTAAAATAGGAATTTCCAAACATCACTTTTGCTTTGTCGTATCAAAACGTTTTGTGGCTAAAATTATTAATTAAGAAGGAAAATCAAGCACGAATTACCAATCATTTCAATTAATTTTCATTGTTCATCAAAATTGTTGTTTCCTTCTGAAATGAAACTTTTAGGTTGTGCATGCTATTATCCAGAATCAGTAATAATTTACGTAAGGAACTTTTTATGTATGACAAATAAATTAAATTGTCTTTCGAAATTTTATACTATTTTAAGTGTGTGTTTTCTCGTCGGTAGCATTTGGAGGTGTTCTTTTTGTTCCAAAATCCTTTTTTTTTTTTTTTCCTGTTCACAAGTTGTAAAATCTTTGTAAAGAGACTGATTGCATCAGTCAATATATTATTTTCCTGGTGAAAATAATAAAAAATATACTAATTAATAGATAATAAAAAGTAATATAAATTAATATAATAATCATAATAATAATAAAAATGGTAAAGACACTTCATGACCGGCCAATTTTATTTCGAAGATTAAGATTTTTACAGCTCGCAACAGTTTCGCTTATAACCTTTTCAGGTAGGTAAAATAATTCAATGTGTCTTATGGAGAGAGCTAGCTAATTATAACGAGTTCATTAAACGATATTTATTTTTTTTTCACGAGTAGAAATTATACAAGCGATCGCTTTTTTTGGGCAACTTAAAGATACCCAGCCAAGTTCTTTTTATCTTTCCAAAACCACGTAAGTTATAATCATTCGATTTCCTTTATAAGTCATCTTATTTTATTTTATTTTATTTTTTTTTTTCATAAAATGTTTCGTCTTATTTTGTAGGTTTGATTTATGCGGTATAAAGTTGCTATATCATATAGTCATTGGCCTTACTCTAATAAGCACTAGTAGGTTTTTTTTTTTTTGAACGATCATTTATAAACTCTCGGCACGTAGAGATTCTAAAATCGTTTATTTTCGTCACAGCATATTATTTCGTGCGATTCAGTCACAGATGGTATCATGGGCCTTATCAAACTGACATCTTAGTTGATCTGTAAGTTCAAACCTTAGATTTATCAATAAAATTTAAAATGAAATCCGGTTAAACAAAAAAAATTTCAAAAATTATAATAATCATCAGCACGTTTTTTTATTTGTGGGTCGTTGCCGGTAAGTACATTGATTCGATGAATCTTCGCACGTGTATTTTCCATAATTCTTTTAAGATATTAATACCTTACTTTCGATAGGATTCACAAATATTTTCCCATTGTTTAAAGGAAACAGATGGGCATGTTTAGATGACGCGTTCGGTCCAAAGGTAGAATTTCTCAAGAGGGTACTATGTGACGGATATATATTTAGTACAATATTTGGATGGATTATGATAATAGAGTTTTGTGTTAGCACAGTATTGTATTTAAGATTATGGAAGACAAGGAATTGGTGGGAAAAATCAAACATAAATGTCGAAAATAATCATTCGTTTGACGTAAGTTACTAATGCGTTGAATACGGTTGGATTTGATAAAAAGTTCATTCTAACATGATTTCTTTGTGAATATTTTATAGCAAACAAACTTAACGGGTAACGTGTATTTTTACTTATTAATGAAATTTAAAGATGAGTATTAATCATAGTTTGGTCCTATTTTTTTTTTTTTTTTTTTATAGAAATTAACATGAATGATATAAAAAATCTTTCGCCTCGTGAACGTCACCGTCTTGTACTTGAATTAGGTCCAAGACGTGATTCATCAAGGACAATCACCTAAAAGGTAACGAAAGGTTACAATGACTTTTTAAATTTTTATATTTATGTATAAATAAATTTTTTTTAAAACTTTTTCTAGTTGTACAAAATTGTAAGATCGCGATTATTTAACAGCCGGACTGTTTGATTATAAATGTAGGGCGGGTGGGTGATTCATGGCAAATAAAAACCAAAAAAATAAAAAATATTTTTCATAATGTGAATACCTCTCCATTACTTGATTTTCGTGTGTAATGTTATTCTTGGTTAAAGATTTAGTTGAATTCTGTCATTTCGAAATGGTTGTGATACCTTTATTAAAATGATTTTCATGCTGCCACAAAGCTAATCATCAACATAATAATCAAAAGGTAGAGCACATGCATGTTATTTCATAACCCAATATGGTACTATACCGAAATTTAGTTTGAAATTCGTAAACCGAAATGATTTATTTAAATAACTCATTGAAAAAAATTTAAACGGATAAATAAGAATCGATTCATTTTGCTATTTATCTTGAACATTCACAACTGCATAACTTACCTAGAAAAAATTTTTAAAGATGTCAAATTCAGTAAAATCAAAAGGTTTTTCTTTGAAACGTGAATACAATTTTGTGTTTAGAATTGTACAAATATCTGTTATTGGAGTTATTATGATCTTGGGTATGATTTTTTTTTTTAAAAAAAAAAAAGCTGCTCAAGTTCTTGCTTATAACTTTTTTTTTTTTTTTTTTTTTTTTTTTTTTTTTGTCTTTTAGAACTCGTTCAATATATATTCTATAATGCGTTTTACGTGCATCAACTAAATTGGTCGAAATCTTACTACTTTCTTTCTAAATTGTATGAAATTTATTATCCTTTTTAACAATTTTACATAAAGTTATTAACATATTTTATATATTAAAGCAACGGTATAAAAGGTTTTTATGTTCCTGTTATTATTCTCACTTGGATTTATAATGGCAAGATTCTTTTTCGTATAAATTTCTTTCATTCTTTTTCTTAAATTGTGGTAAACTCAATTCACTTTTGTGAAAAATAGCTATTTATATCGGTACATTCCTTAAATTCCGGTCCAGTAAAAAGTTCAAGAAAATTGCCATGATTTTTGACATGTATGTATTAATTCCACTTATGCCCATTCCTTTCCGAACGATTATTAACCGCAACTCGCCCATTTAGATCCTTTGTTACTTTGTGGCTCGCAGTCGGTAAGTATTGTGAAAAATTTTTGTTATTTATAACATTATAAAATTGAATTGTTTCTAATAAAATCGAATTTCTCAGGCGTAACAAATGTTTATCATGTGTCTTGTTCAAAAGATGAAATTTATTCTACTAAAGGGGAAACCCAAAGTATATGTCGTGCATTTCTTGGTAGTATGATATTAAGTTGGTTAATGTTCCTTCTATTTATCATCGCTTCTTTTACTTCATGGAGAACATACAAAAGGCGTTGAGTTTCTTTTTGTATGCTGGGAAAATTACGTACATTTTTTTCCTTTATTATATTATCATGTGTAAAACTTAAATTGCTATTTTAATATTTTAATTAGTTATTTTCGTCGCTTACATCATTTTTCCTCACCTAATAAAATTAATACCGTAATAGAACCTTATATTGCTTCCGAGTTTTTATGTTTTGACAGTGAAGGATGCATACATTCCTTTGATTTGTTAGAACGATCTGGAGGTACTAGCGGTCACCTTATTCAGAGCCAGACGTTGATACTGTACCAAAAGAAATTGCCAACACGTCGTTTATTTCATATATATCATTTTTTAAAATCAACTCACGATCCTAAGAGGCGTCAGTAAAAAATGGAATTTTCATTAATTTTAGTTCTCCCTTTTCTATTGACTACCGCCCATGAAATTAACCATTCCGTTTAAAGTGTCTCGTTCGAGCGGAGGCTGACTGATTACACAATTACGAATTCATTGGAATGATCATTTTACTTAAAGAATTTGTTCAATTATCAAATTATGTCACAAAAACCATTTGTCACACATGGGTTCGCGTGATACAAAATATCTATAAAAAGGAATTATTTATTTTTCGTAAATCCGGTAGTTAGCGAAATAATATGACTATATAATATGACTAAATACATCATTTACAGTGTATTGCTTTCAATGAAAATTTTCGTTCTCATTGCGTTGTTTCAAAGGGACAAATGTTCTTCAAAATGAACATTAGTTACTTTTAAAATAACTGGTAATCAACATCAACTTCAAACCCATTACGATTCCTTTAATAGATCCTTCCGGAAGTCTTTCTTTTGATGTTTCTGGTTTTCCCACCATATAATAAGTACCAGCAGAGAACAATCTATATGCAGTGCCTAACACTGGTAAGATGGTGACAGCTTCCGCAAATTTTACCTCTCTCGTCTCAAATGAGTTGTTAATCCGAAAATCAATACATGAAAGTCTCAATTTCAAGAATTGACTGTTTAATTGCTCTAGACTTGTACTACCTGTTCACGAGTATCTTGTCCATTATGATAGGGAGAGTCGACCCCAATCATTGGATGAATTCCTCTAATAACCCATTCTTGTGAACTATGAGTAAAAATTATGACAAAATTTCTCTCATCCCTTTTAAAAATTTTTTTAAATAAAGAAAACATTTTCATTTCTTCTCCTAAATAAGACTTTGCTTCTTTCGTTACATAACATATAAAGTTGAGAAGTAAATGTTGATTTGAGAAACAATTTCGAATCGATTCGACGAACTCCTCATGTGAGTTATCGCTTAAATTCGGTTCATCTACTCCGGACATGTCGATTCCTTTATACCTTTCTGAGGAAGAAACCATCATATTCCCATCTACTCTTACCTCGACTTCACCATCATTAACCGGGAAGGGACCTGACATATCACCATTAATCAACTTATTCCCGATAGAAGACTTGCCATTCCCAACGACTCCGAAAAGGGTCACCTTCATAACAGGCTCCATTATGTATGACAAAAACGTTTTTCAGGACGATAATTATTAATATTGTTGGGATAAAATAAAGGATATTAAGTGACGATAAAATCCTTGTAAAATAAACTATTTTTTTTTTTTAACAAATTTCTTTTATCAAGAATTTGTTTGTATCAAATTGTTAATTTTGGGTAGATTAAACTATCTCATGATACATGCATGCATTCGTTACGCTTTTTACATTATTAATCGCAGAACATTAGTAAAATCGAAAAAATCATTTCAATCGGATTTGTGTAACCACACCGATTTTGAATTAATTATGATGATTGGCGCATCTCTGATGATGCGGTTGGACTTTCCACTTGTAAACGTGCCATAACATCTAGCGATTTAATGAAGCTCGGATAATTCAAAAGAGGATTTGGAAATGAAGACGGTTTAATTGAAGTCCGTATCAAATAACGCACACGAATATACCCCTCCCTCGATTTGCAATTAAAAAGGGATTTTCCCAAAGCAAGGGAATTGTCATCCGACATAAATTTCGATTGACTAGAACGCATGAATAAAGTGAATTGAAATTGTTTCATAAATATTGCACGATGTAATTTGAAGAACGACCTTTGAGAAATGCATTTGCTTTATTAATGAAGTCAATACCAAGAAATGCATTGGATACAATACTTAAAATGATTTTTTATAATGATAAATTTTATTTTACGTTACAAAATAATATTAATGTTTATTTCAAGAAAGTGACCCGGCGGGGTACATGAACCGAAAAATCGAGTTTGCGCGACCTTAGATACGTTTTTTTTTTTATTTTATTTTATCTTCATTTTATAAATTTCTTTTTTTTTTTTTTTTAGGTATGTTCTTTAATTTTTCCTTTTTTATATATAAGTGGGTTGGGCCGCTAAAATTACCGTAAACAACTTAGGTACAATACAAATTTTCGAATTTCGGAGGGTACAACACTATGGAGGTACAATATTCTTGCCAAAATCAATAAACGTGTGACAAATTTTTGAGTTATTTGATTAATAATAACAAACAAATCGACTCATTTCATCGATAAATTCCAATCCGTAATACCGTTTACTGAAAATATCTAAGGTTTCATTATCAAAGACAACGGTAAAAATCCTTTAACAAGCTATTGGAAAAAGAATCAAATTTTGTCTGAAATAAAATATTTCAGAAAGTATTATACCCGGATATAATACATTTCTTTGAATGTATCGTATAATCCATTTTTCGCCTTCAATATTCCAGGGGGCCAATTTTGAAATGAACAGGTCGATTTTCGTCATCATTATGTTTACATATGGAGATGGATTGAGCCAATAGAATTTGACCGAAAAGTTTATGTGACGTTGCGTCATAACAAGCGTTAAAAACCCCTTTTGCTTGAAAACAAAAAAAAATTCACTTCTTTCCACTTCTCCAAGACCGGAAAATCAACAATAAGGTATATTTTCTATTTATTTATTATTTATTATTTGTATTTTTTTTTTATTTACTTTTCAAGTATAAGGCTTAAACATTTTTCTATATACAATACTAAAACGACTGTTACTGAAGATTTCCGAGTTCTTTGGTACTGCCAAAGACAAAGAGAAGAATAGAGGTTTGCCTATG